TGTATTGTTTCATTCTTTAAAACCAAGAGATAATTCTCTTGTTAAAGAACATTCTTATTGTTTATAACGTGGACTCCTAGCTGTCACTTCCAATAGGACTTACCAGTTCTACCAGTAGCCTAAAATACTGTCTGTGGTAACAGCTCTGAGAAAGAACCAATTACCTGTCTACATTTTAAGGTTTTTCTGTCTAGAAATTTGCAGTTAAGAGAATTCTCTTCACATACCCTTTTTTGAACTTATTTATTAATTTATTTTTTTGTGTGTATCTCTGTGTGAGATAGTGTGCTCTTAACTTTATATCCAACAAAGTACATTGGATATTGTGTGAGTGAAATAGACAGTTCTCGTCTTCTAGCAATCACTGTAGATGGTGTATATCACGATAAATTTTAGGTGTTTAAATTTTTGTATGGTTAGGTACAAGGGGTTTGGTATTGGAACTTTGGCTTCTGATATACTATGAGATTACTAGACTATCTCCAAAACAGACTCAAGGTTCAGGAATTTGGACCGTTCTAGAGTCTACACAGAATGTTTGATTTACTTCTTGAATAAACAAGCTTTTTCAATTCAAAGATGATACATATGTTAACCAAGGTACCATAGATATAGTACTACCATTCAGTGCTTACATTTATATTTTATCTTTATGAAGTTGGAATAGTAGAAATCCTGCTGACATTTGGAATGTTTTAATATTGATTTGCCAGTAACTAGTAAACTAAGGGATATCTTCACGAATAATGTGTCGCATCTGCAGTGCAAGTTCTGGTTTTCTCTGTGATAAGAAAGAGATATGACTTAGTTCCATAAAAACAAATTTTGCAGAAATCTTTTGATGTCTTAAAGGGATTATTTTTTGGAGAAAATGTTTGGACTGAGAAATCTGTTGCTTTTTAAATTAGTATAGAGATTTCCACTTAGTAAATAAGACTAGTAAGTGATGGTTTTTTATTTTTCAGGTTATATATTCAAGTAAATTCTGATTGTAGCATCATTGAAGGGAAGAGATTGCCAGCAATTTGACTTAGTCAATCTTACACTTGTGCTCTGAGGTCAATGTGGTTATTTATTTCTTCTCAGATAATACACAGATAATTGATATTTCCTTATTAGTCAGTAATGAGTTTCTCATCTCTTTTCAGATTATTTACTAGGTATAAAGTATACTTGGGTACAAGTCAGATGACAGGGATTCTAGTAAAAACACATTTATCATAATAGGAAATACATCAGTTATTTCATTAACTCCAGTTTGGGTAAGCAAATTTTGTTTGAGTGTTCCTTAAATTCCCTGAATGAGTATTATTAACTCACCAATAAAATTACTTGTTAAAACTCTTCCCTCTCAGATTAGTTCTGATCACATACCACCAGGGGTCACTTTAACTCAAGGACCCTTTTCCCCCTTTCCTCATCTATGGAATACTCCTAGCATAATTCAGTAGCATGGGAATGAATTTAGAGCTCAAATTCTCAGGATTTGTGATGTCTCTTAAGTTTTAAAGGAAATATTTTTAAGTTTCCAAATGAGGTTTTATAGCAGTTGAAGCATAACCTGATCTTAACCATAGGTAGAGTTACCCAGATTGAGTGTTGTTGTTTTTTAAAAATAACATTATTTTGGTCTTTTGATTATAGGAACTTAAACTAAATTATAGTGGCAAGTTTTTATGTAAAACTCTAAGAGACTTTTCTTGCTTTGTATTTTTAGAATGATGCAGTCATTTACAGATTATCAATTGCCAGAGGATCATAAAGCAATCTAGATGATGTTTTTTAGCTTGAGAATTTACTTTATGAGAGAGAGAATGGGAATTTACTTACGAGAATTTACTTGTGATGATAACTGAAAAACTCATTTACTGACTTTTAAAAATATGACACTATAAAAACAGACTAAATAAAGCTGTTGTTTTGATTTTGATTTTTTTTAAAAAGCCAGTATTGAAAGCTAATATTTATTATCTAGATACAATAAACTTTCTTTAGCTTTTCATTCTTTTGTGATAAGTGTTAGTCTGTAACCATCTACCCTGCCTCAGTATAAATAGGAGTAGTACATGTGACTCAGCTGTCAAGTTAAAATCGTGTTCAGTAATATTAAATATCAGTTGTTATATGTACTAAGTGCTCCAAAGCTTACTTATTTTTCCATTTTTTTAATTTGAAAGTTTTAAGCATAAAGAAACTTTAAAATAATAAGGTAGTGATCACCTGTATATCTGTCTTATATATTCAATAATTGACTTTTTGCTGTTTGTTTTGTGTTTGTGTCTTTGTTTTCCGGACCATTTGAAATTAAGTTGCAGACAGCATGGCACTTGACCTCTAAATATTTATACATCTAAAAATAAAGGTGTTTTTCTTCATAGTCATGATACTATTATCATGTCTAAGAAAATCAGCAGTAATTTTTTAATGACATCCTATATTCATTCTACAATCAGATTATTTCAGTTGTACCCAAGATGTAACTTGTAGATAGTCTTTCAAACCAAGATTTTATCAAGGCCTGCATATTTTTTGTATTTTAGTTGTTTCAGAGATTGAATTCCACTACAAATTTACTTTACTAAATGTAATATGCTTCCCCCCCGTTTTCTGACACCTGTGTGCCTATGCTGGTCGTTTTCATTAATAACACTTGCTGTAGGCATGGGAGTAGTAGAATCTATGTGGCAGTAGGAGATGGAAGTTACAAGTTGTTGTTAGGAATTTAAAAGTTGTTTTTTGGGTGGGGGTGTGCCTGGCTGGCTCAGTCTGTAGAGCGTTTGACTCTTGATCTCAGGATTGTGAGTTTGAGCCCCATGTTGGGTGTTAACGTTACTTAAAAAAAAAAAAAAATCTTTAAAAAAAAAGTTTGTTTTTCTAATAATACCAGAAGGGCTCTGAATTCTTTCTTATATGTTACTGGTGTGCTTAAGCCAAAGCATATAAATATGTATTTTATGTGATATTCTATTTATTTTATGAAGAAAAGAAACTTGGTCTAATCAGGCTTCATCTGTCTTATTAGAAGTTGATACTCCTGGGGCGTCTGGGTGGTGGCTCAGTCATTTAAGTGTCTGACTCTTGATCTCAGCTGAGGTCATGAGTTCAAGCCCTGCTTTGGGCTGCATGCTGGGCATGGAGCCTACTTAAAAAAATAAATAAGAATAAAAATAAATTTAAAAAAAGAAGTTGATATGCCTGTTTTAATAGGAACATTTTAGGAAGATTGATTTTTCTTTAGTATTTTGGAAACTGGTTTGGTTTTTAGAAGCATAACCCAATTACAAAGACATCTTTATACCAAGATTTGAAATTACTCAGGTTGTATATTTTTTATTTTATTTTGTAATTGTATAGTGAATAGTTTTCATATAATTTTTGTTTCAAATATGGTTTTAAAGCTGTGTGTGTCTGTGTGTGTGTGTGGTGTGTGTGTGTGGTGTATCTGTGTGTGTTAAGTGATTTTTTAGGAGGCTTTGTGGTGTATTTGAAATATTGCTTATCTAGCATTCAGGATATCTTGGTCCTAGTTCTGTCTTTTAGTTTTGTCTATTTAACAGTGATATGACAAGTCTTTTAACCTCTCTGGTTCTTATATACTCATCTGAAAAATGGGTATAATACCAGTTCTGCTACCTTGATGGGGTTGTTTCTTATATTAAATAAGACATGTGAAAATAAATTAGACATCACAGGATTCTATAAAAGTAAGGCAATAGGTTATCATTATGCTATGTATATAAAATTACCTAATACTGTTTCTTTAGACTTGGCAATGCCTTTTTAAAATATAGATTGAATTATCTCACCTTTAGTATCAAAGGTGAGTAAATAAATTGTATAGTGTTCAAAATAAGAATCTAGTCATTTTGTTGGGTGAAATAAAATGTGTATTGTGAGTGATTTTTAAAATTAAGTATTTGTTTAATTAAAAGTGAATAATAGCAAAAATGTTATAATGCACATTTAAGTTTTCTTTTGAATGATCTGCATAAATCTAAATGTTGTGTTGATACAAATTTTATTGATGTTATTACTCAGAAGATAAATGTTTAAAAAGTTTATGACTGAAAATTTTGTCCTCTGAAAGCAACCTCTTGGTAGAAGTTTATGTTAAAAATTTACATAGAAAATAAAATTGTATTTAGAGTCCAACTTGCCTTAATATTATGGAAAAATTGTAGCTAACTTAAACCTTGCTAGAGTTTGTATTGTAGTATTTCACCATCACAAAATTTATATGGCTATCTGTTCTCATTTTTCTTTCCTTGCAGCTTTTAGTGTGGTGCCTAGATTAAATTTAACACTGGCACAGTTTTAGATACATTATGTTATCCTTCATAATTTTGTTGCTGTTTTCATACAAGTAACCTTGAAAGATTTTAGAATTCTGGACATTGATAGTGTCTGGAATTTTCTATTTAAAATGGATTATGAGAAAGGATAAAAAGAACAGTTCCTAGAGTTATGTATGAAGACATCACAGATAATTTTTTTAAAAAGTGCTTTTACTCAGAAAAATTCCACCATCATCTTCTTTATCTTAAAAGTGTATATCCACCATCATCTTCTTTTTTAAAAAGATGATATAAGGACCTGAGGACACATTATAATTCACAAATGTATAAGGTTCTAGGCATTGATTTTAGTCTTTGAAATTTCTGCTTTGTTCTAAAATAATCCACTTCAAGGCCCAATATTTCTTCTAGGTATTTCCATAGATCTTTGCTAGGCATTAAGAAGATCTAGTTGCAGACAAATTAAAGATTTGGCAACATATATGTGTATGTATTATGTATGTGGATTTCTCCTCCAAATATTTAGTAGAAATCACTGCTGTTTTGTCATCTTAAAATTATATAAAAAGTTAAGATTTTTTTACTGTATATATTCCTAGGAGCTAAACTATTGATCTCAAATACAGAAAGTTGACATTTCTATTCTACCTGTCTAGCTTCTTTACAGTATTAAGTTTGTATCACGTTTTTTTCTTTTTAAAACAGAGATGTGCTCCTGCATCTATCCGCCTCATGGACAACCAACAGTTTCAGTTTGGTAAGTAAGGAGCGGTCATTTTAAAAACTGCTCATGAAGCCACAAAATTTTTGAAACAGCTGTTACCTGCCAGGAATAGTACTGAATGAAGAGGTAGGAAGATGAATGTCATAGTTCCTGTCCTGCAGGAAGCTCTCAGTTTAATGAGGACAGACAATTACATAAAAGAATGAGTGCAGGATTGTTGCAGGTGTTGTGAAATAAGAGTACACTGGGTACCCTGGGGTGCAAATGAAGGAGTGGTTGAGCCTGCTGGATTTTGCTGCATGTTGACATGGGGAGTCAGGAAAGGCTTCTTAAAGGAGGGTCATGCTTAAGTTAAGTAGTAAAGCCTTCTGTGTGTTTTGGCCTGCATTTAGAGTTCTAGGCCTTAAGAGAGCCATGTATCTGATTAATAATGTTGTGTTATCCATTTATATATGCTGTTATTATAGTGAATTATGTTAGACACAGAATGTTTGTAAAATTAACTATGATTTGACTAGATTTTATTTATAATTGCGATTTTAACAATTTAAAATGAAGGTTTAAAGAAAAGGTCCTTCAGACCATCTGTTGTTCCTGTTCCACATTCTCATTGCTATAGATAGGAACATGCTCTAAGGCAGGTTCTACCGTCTCTAGTCTGGGCTCTATCTATTCTTTCCACCCTTTTCATGGCCACCCTTTACATGGCCATTAAAGTGATTTTTTGAAAAGACAGATCTGATTCTGCTCATTGGCTATCTATAACCTTTTTGATTTCTCACTACCTGTTGAAGCCTTTCCATCTATATATCCTGCCATGGCTCCATGATCAAGCAACTAAAGAATAATGCTTAGCGCAGCAAGGGATGTCTAGGACATTTTACTAGCCGTATGGCTGATTGGCAGTGTTTGTACCATATTGGTTGTTAACAAAGCACAAGCCTTATTATTAGATGTTAATATTTTTTTTAAAGATTTTATTTATTTACTTGAGAGAGAGAATGAGAGAGAGAGAGAGAGCATGAGAGGGGGGAGGGTCAGAGGGAGAAGCAGACTCCCCGCTGAGCAGGGAGTCCGATGTGGGACTTGATCCCGGGACTCCAGGATCATGACCTGAGCCGAAGGCAGTCGCTTAACCAACTGAGCCACCCAGGCGCCCTAGATGTTAACATTTTAAATTTCACTCCTGCCTCTGACACAACTCTTTAATTCATTATATTGAAATGGATACGGGTTTTTTTTATATTTTATTTATTTATTTGACAGAGAGAGAGAGAACACAAGCAGGGGGAGCAGCAGGCAGAGGGAGAGGGAGAAGCAGCCTCCTCGCTGAGCAGGGAGCCTGATGGCGGGGCTCGATCCCAGAACCTTGGGATTATGACCTGAGCCAAAGGCAGACGCTTAACCGACTGAGCCAGCCAGGCATCCTTGAAATGATGTTTTAAGTATATTGAAATGATATATATCATTGAGTATATTGAAATGATCTGTAGATTTCCTCTGAAAAACTAAGGTTTGTCAAATTTAGGGGATGTTTCTTATTCATTTTTATATCTCCTGCACCTGTCCTATGATAGGCGGTGCCGTTGATTGACTTAATCATCTACTTAGCAAAAGAGGGTGAACAAATCTTGAATAGCACATAGTAGAGTGTCAAGCACACTATCAGAAGCACAGTTTATCAAATACTCCTCACAACTGTTCCTGAAAGTGGTACTCCCAGTTTACAAATGACTCAAAGGCTAGACATTTCAGCCAAAGCCCACAGGTCATATGTGGTAGAGCCGGGGTTGAACCCAAATCTGTCTGACTCCAAGGCCCAAGACTTTTCCCACCATTTGAGATCAATTCTTTGAAATGTAGATATTTATTAAATAATTAAAAATGTTTAAGTTGACACTGTAACAGCACCAAATTTACTAATAAGACTGTTCAACTAGTAAATTTGAAAACTTAGTTCCTTTATTTACCAAAAAATACAAAACACAGTAGCCAGAGTACATTTAGAATGTAATTATTTTGAAAGGCAACATTAATTTAAAAATAAAAAAAATAATATCCTCTTAGGTATTCACCTACTGCTAAATGCTTGACGCACTTAAAGTTAGTATCGCTTTTAGGATAGTTATTCTTCAAAGCTATCATGTCAACTCAGTATTTGGGATATATGTGACTAAGTCCCACTAGTGTTAATGGAAATCGTGCAAATAAATTTCCATGTGTTAAGATGAACATAGACCCTTAAGGATTATTTCACATCAGTGTAGTGACATTTGGAGTCTCCTCGTACAATATGTAAAGATGTGTGGATCAGAAGGCTTGTATGAGGAACAGATAATTTTAGTTTCTTGCAAGAATATGACTAACACACTCACACATTTATGTTTATTTATTTCCAATTATTAAAGTAGGATAAATTCCATTTGGGACAAGAGTGAGTATTTTGATGGTATATTATTTCTAACTTTATACTGTCTAGAAATGGAATTTTTTTAAGGCACTGATTATGCTGGAGAAGCATTTTTGACAGGGTACAATAAAAGAAAAAAAATTTCCCAAACATGTGATCCAGGAACTTGAAAAGATTGCTGGGTTGATCTCTATGTAATCTGCCTGTCACTTTTGTTGTTTTTTGTTTTGTTCAGTTATAGCATTGATATCTAACTCTTAACCTCTGGTTAAGGCTATGTTAGTTGGTCTTTCATGTCAGTTTCCTATTATAGTCAGTAAAAATGTAGTAAGTATTACACATTCAGATTCGAACTTAAAAAAAGTTGAATAAAAAAAAAAAGAAAGGACTATAAGTCATCTCCCCCCTCCCCACCAAAGAAACTCGTTTGCTGTTTGCACCTATTTTAAAGAAGGGATCCATGCTTTAAAAAAACAGAGAAAAAAAAAAAAAGCACAAAACAACACAAAACAACATCCCAAAATCTTAAAACTATTTTTAAAAAAAAAAAAATTTTATTTAGAGATAATTTCAGATTTACTAGAGACTTTAAAATTCTTTATAAAAATTATATATAAATGGTATGCCCATTTTTCTGAATTGGGCTTATAGCACTAAGGGCAGATGTATGACTCTTAATCTAACAGTCATGGGAGTTAAGAAGTTGTTACTCTGAAAACAATGAGAAAACAGTAAAAGACTTTCACTCAATTAAGCTCAATCTGCAGGCAAAGATGTTAATTTAACAGACTCTGAGATACCGTTTATGTTGTTTTGGCAATTTTAACTCTCTGGGTGTGATTAAGGAAGCAGTTACTAGTTTTATGCCAAGAATTCTGGAAGAATTAAGAATTAATTAAGAAACAACCTTAAACTTGGCATTGACTGCATATTTGGTTATAGTTCTGAATGGTTTCTGCATAATTAAAAAAAATAAAAGTAAACTCAGCCACCGTTGGGTGTTCTTAATGAAATAAAAATTAATGAAGTGATTTTACTATGTATAAACTATACTATTGAAAGATAACCTAAACTATATGTAGTATTAATTACATATAGTAATTTGAGTTAAAAAAGAAACAAGAGGAGTTTTGTAAACAAAAAGTTGTGACTTTTGAAAGAAGATAAAAGATGTAGATCTTAATATCAATATGCTATATGTACAACGTAGGAAGATTTAAAAAATTGGAGAAATGAAACTTTCACTTTTTTAGGATACTAAATTAAACTAGCTTTTTAATCTTTTGAAAAACAGTTTGCTATTAATTTAAATTATGAACTTTTTTCTTCTTAGGTCATGCTCTTAAACCTCAGGTTTCCTCTATTTTCACATCATTTTTGGATGGCTTAAAGAAGTTTTATATTACAAAGGTAAGAATTTTTATGAAATGCTAAAATTTTTAATGCTTATGATATTAATTTTGTTTTCTGTCTTCTCCCCCCTCACACGTACGTATTATCAAGGATGTTTTTTCATGGTGCTGTGTACATTTCTTAATTATTATTTTTCATGTTGGAATAAATATTTTATCAAGTAAATTAGTTATGCATTTAATTTCAGAAATTTTAATTTTTTTCCAGATTTGAAGTTCTTTTTTTTAACATTACATTAAAAAGTTTCATGCATGTAAGGTTTTTTATAGTTGTTTGGGTTTTTTTTGTATTAGATATCTATATCTAGTGAAATAAAAGTATGGATTTTTTAAAAATCTTTGCTGAATTCCTTTCTTAAAGGGTTATGCCAGCTTGCACTATCCCTAGGGACATACAGGTGCTGTTTCTTTGTTCCATCCTTGCTATGGAACAAAAACACAACAAATGTGTTCTGTTATGTTTCAAATGTACTGAATCTAGGGGGGAAAGTAGTACTTTATTTTAGGTAATGTTTCTCATTGAAATTCCAGTGAGACCCATCATTTCCCTGTATTTCCTAGATACAGGTTTTGTGTGCATTAGTTGAGTATGGTTATTTTGCCTTGGGGTGGCAACTTTGTGGTGTTTTTCCTTGGTACTTTGCATGTACCCTTTGAGTAATGGGATTATTAGATGCCTTTGTGATAAATGTTGTGAATAATTTTTTGAGTCAGGTGACTCCCTTTTTAATAAGAGTTTTTGGTGCAAAGGTTTCAAAATTTTGTATCTTTTCCTGTGATTATTTAATCATTTCTAAGCTGGGACCATTTCTTCTCTCTCGCTTTTTTTTTTTTGTTAAATGGGAATTTAAAAATTTTTATCTTTATTACTATTTGAATTTATTTCAATTTTATGATGTGAGATAAAGCTCTAAATTAATCTTCACCTTCCACTCCCCCAGTTGCTAACCAGTTGTGGCAGCACCATTAGCTAACTAATCCCTGCTTCTCTTAACATTGACTTGCCATGTCTGAGACATCTTCTTAAATACTGACTCAAGATGTAGACTCCATTTTAATGTATCAAATACTGTATGATCTCTCTTATATGTGCAATCTAGGAAAAAATATAAAAAAAAAACATAAAAAAAACTAGCTTATAGATTTTTTTAACAGACTGGTAACCGCCAGAGACGGGGTGAGGGGTGGGAGAAGAAGGTGAACTTTTTTTGTTTTTAGGGGTTGAGGGGTGGAAGGAGAGCGTGAACTGTTTTTACTTTTTCTAGTTTAAATAAATTGAATTTTAAAAAGATATCACATTTTTTTAAATGAGTTTTTGTTCTTAGAAAATTAAATGGATTTAATTGCTATAGTTCTAGTTCTTGTTTCTTAGAATTTTCCTTGTTATCCATCATAACCTACCTGTTTATCAACCTAGAAAAATTTTAGAAACTCTTCACCATCTTAGGAAGTCCATTAAGTGTTCTTTTCTTTTTTTTTTTTTTAAGATTTTATTTATTTATTTGACAGAGAGAGACACAGCGGAAGAGGGAACACAAGCAGGGGGAGTGGGAGAGGGAGAAGCAGGCTTCCCGTGGAGCAGGGAGCCCGATGTGGGGCTCGATCCCAGGACCCTGGGATCATGACCTGAGCCGAAGGCAGATGCCTAACGACTGAGCCACCCAGGCACCCCTGAGTTTTTTGTCAGAATTGGAATGAACCTGTATATTAATTTGAGCAAGAATTGACAGATTTATATACTTAGTTGAGGCATTCTAGAACATGTCTTTATAATCTATTTTTAGACATGTTTTCCTAATGAGGTTACATATTTCCTTTTATGGTTATTCTTAGATATTTTAATTATATATGTAAGATCTCCTTTGAAAATGTTATTTAATAAGTTATTGTTGGTATGTAAGGATGCTGTTATTTTTTTACCTTTTTCTCATCCTACATTTTGCTAATTCATTATATTCTATCATTTGGTATTTTTATTTGCTTCTTTATTGCAGTTACAATTCTTACAAGTTCTTTCTTGTATTATTTACCAATTTGTCATTACAATTGACACCATGGCATACTTTGAAATTAAGTATTTTTCTGTAGTTTTGTTATTTGTAACAACCTGAATAGGTGCATTAAACATTCTTTTTGATTCACATGTAAAATTCCAAAGCTCAATTTTAAAGAGTTGGTATGTTTGAGCCCAGATCAGAAGGAAATATGAGCAAAATGTATTTTGATTTCCTGTTTTATAGGGTAAGACTTATCTGTAATGAATTTTTTTTTTTTTTTTTGTAGTTTAAAGGATTTGATCCAAATCAGCTAACTGTCGCTACATTACTGTTTGAGGGGGACCGTGAGAAGGTTCTTCAACATGAAAAACAAGTGTATGACATCGCTGCAAAATTTGGGTATGGCTTTAGTTCATAATGCCAAGAGAATGTTAATCTAAAATTCTGGTATCTGCAAGCAGTTGTTAATACCCTTTAAAGTATTAAATTTGTAGCAATATATGATAGTCAACTTAAAATGTTGTGTTGGTTTACTTCCAAAATTTGTGATCATATATATATTAAATATTTTATTGTATTATTCCATTAATGCTAATTTTATAATATTTGCTTTTGTACTAGAGTAAAATATGAAAAATTCATAGTCCTCTTACTATTTAGTGGTAATTGTGTATTTGTATAAAACATGTTATTAGTATGTTTTTAAAAGGAAGTTTTTTAAACAAAAGAATTTGATAAATTATCTATACTCCACCCCTTGTCACTTACTGTTTTGTGCTGGTATAAAGAAACAGAAAACATTTCACATCTATAACCAACTGAATAATGATTGGGTGGTTTCTTTCTGTCTACGTGATGGATTATGAGACTGATCAATGAGAACTATAGTGAAAATGCCATTTATCAGGACTACATTTTTTCCTTTCCTTTCTAAGTACTTAAAGTTTCTGGATACCAGTTTCCTTTTTTTTTAATTTCAGAGCTTAAAATATACATTATGCTTAATCTGAGTTCTTTGTAAATATTTAATTTCCCTTTTTTGCTATTTATGAGAACAAATGGGCACTTAATTTGTAGCCTTGTGTTTTAGAACGTCCCACTTTTATGTATTTTTCTCACATACGATATTCAGCCCTTTATTTTTAGGATTTTCCAAACTTAGTGTTAAAATGTAGAATTCTTAGAAAAAGATCTAATCGTGGGCTTAATTTTTAGTTTACTTTTGTACTGTTTTTGAGTATAGCAAATTAGCCTCTCAATTTTATTACCTTATTCTGAAATTGGCAAGTGGAATTTAATTTCTTTAACAAAAGATGAAATTCATTATCTTTTACTTTTTCTCTTTCACAGTACCTTTTTTGGGAATTACTGATTTTTTTAACTAAATTAGTTAAGAGTAATTGTGCTATAAAAATTCAGTTAATAACCAAAAGGCTTGGATTTCAGGTTAATCTCTGAATTTATTTTTTAAATGTATATGTACCTGTTTTTTAGTTTCTAAGTTATGTGGAATTTATATATAATTTGATTTTTAAACTTTTTTCTTAAAATCCATGGTATTAGAAACAAGATGATTTAAATTAAAATATTTTATATCTAAATTAACTCTTTTATTTCTGTTCTAACCTTAAATACTAGAGGCTGGAACTTTAAAAAATTGTTTTTTATATATTTAAATATTTAATTGGGATTTCAGAATCATTCAGGAGCACTTGTAGGGAAATGCTTGCTATAATATTTGAATCATTTTATATAAATAAGGTAAATTTGCTTAGTTTCACCTCAGTCCCCTGGTCCTCCTCTTCTAACACACCCCCCCCACACATGCATACACATGCACAGAAATTCCACTTTGTAATATCTTTAAGTGTAATTACAATTCAGAGTAGCCAGCAAAATCATTAGTAGTTAGTAATGTGCTACATTTTTTGTTGGATTGGGGGGGGGTAGGATGATGGCAAAATGCCTTTTTATGTGAGGTAAGACATAATTTTTATTAGGCATGACCTGTCTTTTCTTGGACATTACTGCTGATGCCTGGTATATACTAGATGCTTGATTGAACATTTGTTGAAAGAATTAAGGAAACGGAATATTTTTCCCTAACAAGTTTTATTCTATTTCATTTATGCCTAACTGCTGTGCCACCCTTTAAACAGTGTATTTTAATCTTTAGGTATTTATCAGAGCCATTTTGTCAGTTTTAAGTTGAGCTGCCAACTGTCATGAACTCTCTTGTCATGTAATTTGTCTTGCTTTTCCCATGTAATTTCAGTTATTTACAACTTAAGTTGAAAATGAACTTCCTTAAGATGAATCCAGGTCTTTTTAGATACTGATACTGAAGCCCCAGAACTATTGAGTTAATTCCAGTGATTTGTTTATACCAAACAAAAAATCAAATTCACCCATTAAAATAGGTTATAGTAAGTGAGATACCTATTTAAAGCAAGGGCAAAGCATTAAAATTCACACTCTGATTGGGGTCTCATTTTTTTGGCTATTACTATTGCTACTTATTAAGTTATGTTATAATTAATTTCTTAATGTACTTTCATCCTGGTTTCCTTCATTTGGATGTAGAAATCTTCTGTATTCACAGTCCAGGCTGTCATTAGGCAGATGCCTTAGGGCTGTTTTGGTTTTGATTTGATTTGATTTGATACTTGGAAATATCTTCATGTGGTTTTCTAGCAGAAGTCCTGGTTTTCTCCATGTTTCTCTCTAGGCACTAGTTCTTTGTTCTAATCACTGAAAGATTCAGGGATATTTTTCTTACTTAAGATGCCACTTAGCCAACCCTTGCTCCCCAATGAGTGATTTCTTATGCATAACTAAAAAGCAGCACTAAATTTCTTTCTGCTAAAGTTTCATGAGTTAGTTTAGCTCATGTATTTTATTTTGAATTAGGGCATTATTCATCTATCCTTTCATTTTCTGTTCTTTCGTTTTATCTTCTGTTCCTACCACCTCATTAGCTTTGAATTGACTGTTTTTAATGAAGTACTCCCAACAGTTTAGAACATTTTTATGTGTTATCCTAGCCATTTTTCCTCCTTGCCTTCCACCCCCACCCTAACACTGTTTAATACCTTTGAACATATATGATCCAAGAGAACATAATAGGCAAATGTTGAATAATCATACTTTGGTTGTTTATCTATGTTTGCTAGTAATATACTTTAACTTCTCTAAAAGCTAAACAGAACAAACATTCCCTGTCAGCAGTCATGACAGATGTATTGACATTTACCATAGAACTTAAGGTAATGTGTTATTGTTATTTTTAAAGTGTGTGCTTAAGTTGTTTAATGTAATTCAACATGAGAGTGATTAGGTTCACCATATGGCTCTTTTATATAAAAAGATTGTCTCTTATTCCTCTTTCATTAGTCTTCCCAGTCCTTTCTCATGAAACAGGTTTACATTTAAGAACCTTGTTAATTGATGTTTGAAATTTGCAGAGGGGAGCAGGAAGTAGGGGATGGATATTGCTACTTTACCATAAAGCAGTTTGAATCTTAGTATACTTTTTTGGAGTGGCTGCTGCGAAAATGGCAAGTTAGAAGCATTTAATTTCTACCCCTACTGTTATTTATATATCGTATTTTAAGGTAATCCTCTCTAGAAGATAGAGTTCTGAAAGCTAAAGAAAAGAGAGAGAGAGATTGAAGTTAGAGAAAGCTAAATTTGCAGGGAAACCTATGATTCAGAAAAGCAAGCCCAGAATGACTTGTCTTCTCCTTTGGGGTTTATGAATTTAGAATGGATATCAATTTCATCCTGTTTTGGATAAGAAAATGCATGTTTCTGTGTGGTTTGTCACACCAAATTCCAAAGTGGAGCAGATCTCCCCACCCCCACCAGATGTTAGAACAGGATCTAAAGAAAAATGGCTTGACATGGGACTGCAAAGTAAGACTTTTTCTAATCCTGATATAAGAGAGATAGGCCTACTAAATGTCCATACCTGTTACTTCTCACCAAATACCCGCTTAGAATGTGCCTTCTCAAGGATTCCCAGTGCAGGTCTTTTGCACCCTTTGCTAGTCTTCACTGTCCTTTCTTTCTGCCACTAGGCCCAAGATGAATTGTTCCTATTTCCTACCTCAGTAGTGTTTTTTTTCTTTCTTGGACTCAGTGTCTGACTCTGTTTCATATCTACCCAAGGTATAGATTCAGATATTTCCCTCCACGCATTTACCACAGCAACTTATTTCCTTCTTGTTTGGAACTTTATTTGACTTCCTACCCCTAACCTCAAACCCATATATATCCAACCCAGAATTATATTATTTCTTCTTACTTTTCACTGTCAACTGCTTGACTTAAGTTCTGTCTTCTTTGCTTATTAACATTTAGTAATACAAACAACCCCCCCATTTCATTTTATTGTACCCCACCCCCAAGTGGTTCTAGACTAGAGCTGCTCCTATCAAGTGTTTACCACTTCTCGGGGTGATACTAATTTGTTTATATGCAGCTATAATTCTAAGGAAATTTGATTTGGCCTTTACATCCTAGCCTAAAATTGCCTTTCAGTATTTATATAGCACAAGGGTATATCCATGCTAAATTATTTTCTTACTGTTAAATCCAAGCAAAACTTCAGGGGAAGGAAGAACTTAACTATCAGGTGTTAATCGAAGCAATAAGAAAATTGATTCTTCCAGAGGAGGCTCAAATAACAGAGACTCAAGACCCGAGTCTTGGGCAACACCATGGTTAAGGGCTCAGCATCCTGAGACCAAGGAGGTGTAATTACGGGATTGAACAGAGAGACAGAGGAGTTAATCATCCATTATGACCCAAGAAAGTCACATGAAAATATACTTTTCTTTCTATCTAGTTTTATTGAGGGATTTTTTTCATGGGTACTTTGGGAGCTTGTGGAAGTTTTCTTTAATTGACTAAGAATAGTTAAAATTTAATTTCTATCTGATGATGGAAACAAGGAAAATTAAAAGCTCTTTACTGAAGGTAGTAGAAATCAATTATCATTCATAGTCTTTTAAAATAAGAATGACTTTCACAAAGCAGAGTACTTGGACTGAATTACATGTTATATGGGATTAGTTCTATAACTAGATCACCAAATACAATTTCTGTGGATAAAACTACTTTCAAATTGAAATGGATAGTTCATGGTAATAAAACCTTACCTGTTTTCTTGTAATTGTCTGTATGTTGTTGCTTCATACACTTCAGTATTTCTGTGTAAGTACGTTTTGTCTCATTTAAGTTATAAGTTTCATAAAATAAACACTCTAATACTTCATATACAGTGTGCATGAGTATTCAGAAAACTTCTTGATATTTGGAAGATGTAGTCAGTCATACATCTTTATATGTGAATAAGACTATAATGACACATGAATATATGGATAAGAATATATGAATAAGAGTATTTTAAGTATCTTGTTATGCTTGTGAAGTTTATTTAAGTTTGTTTCTCATGGCTAATTCTCTGTTGTCAGTATGGGTAGAAGTAGTTGAGTTCATATGAGTCAGTTTTATTAGTTTGATGGCTGAAAGTTTGAATTTTTTTTTTTTTCTGAAATATTAAAAGTATTTTTAGGTTTTTGTTATCCAAGCTTATTCTTTTTTTTTTTTTAGAATTTTTTTATTGTTATGTTAACCACCATACATTACATCATTAGTTTTTGATCCAAGCTTATTCTTTTGACAGCTCTTTGACACGTTTATGATAAATTAGATTAAAATAAAAATGAGATGCAGTGTAATATTTGTTAATCCATTAAGCATTTATCTTGGGGCATCATATTAGTTTGGTTAGTTTTATATATTTTTAATAAATATATATGCTATATATTGACACTTTGTTCTTTACAGTGGGTTGGCAGCTGGAGAAGATAATGGACAGAGAGGTTATTTGCTGACCTATGTCATTGCATACATTCGAGTAAGTTATCTCGTATTTCCCTTGTCAGTTTATGTTGCAGACCATACTTTTTCTTACTTTGAATGAATAAAATTATTTTCTTAAATTTTAACCTGTTAATTTCATAAATGAATGCAGAAGAGAAAAGCCACACATTTTAGATCAGTAATTTGGGGATTTTTCCTGTCAACCAATGGTAGAGTTGAAGTAATTCATTTTGCTAGAAGTGAAAACTTAACATGTATAGATTTTTCTACTTATAAAATTTTCTTTCCTGTCTTTGCACTTCTGTGGTGGCTTATGAATTGTTCTTTCCAGTTTTGATATTAAAGCAGAATTGTATTCTGGTTAAAGAAATTTTTATTATAAATTACTTACCAAATAAGAATTATATCTTGTGTGTTATAAAATATATTTTCCTAGCAGAGGTGCTTCCAGATACCCTATTTTATTTAGTTACTACAAAGAAGGGCTCTAATTTGTTTTTAAAGAAAAGTTGATTCCAGGAAAGAGATATTTTCTTCTTTTAGTCCCCCTCCCCCCACTTCTCTGTTGTCCTGGTCCTTTCATCCTGATGACCACTTTTTCTTGTTGTTTAATTTGCTGTTTAGGCTACTAAAAAATGTGTTCTAATATCCTGTACATGTACATAGACGGTTCTTAGAGACTCCATTCCTTGAAGAAATATTTAAATTCCTACCATGTGTCAGGCACACTACCTGGTGCCAAAGGTACAGCGGACAACAAGACAGACAAAGTTCCTGTCCTCCTGAAGGTTGTAGCTCATTCTCAGGGCCACTTTCTGGTGCTTTTATGGAGTGGAGAGTAAAGAGCAGTGGAGGTTACATTAGAAACATGTAATACTAAAAATTATATGAAATACTAGCAATATTACAATATTATTGATTCTTCTGCACCTGTTGTAATTGCTTGATTTTTGTATATATGTTTTAACAGGACTTGGGTTTGGAATACTATGTATTAGGAGAGTCTTTCGAGACTTCAGCTCCTTGGGACAGGTAAAATATAATAAAAAGCCTGATATTCAAATATGCTATAGGAGTTGCTGAAGTAATGTAACTTTGTACATGAATATGCAAATTTTTTAATTTGTATAAAGAAACACTTTTATATTAATATCTTTGGGGCGCCAGGGTGGTCCAGTCAGTTAAGCATCCGGTCATGAGCTTGGGTCCCCCCATTGGGCTCTTAGCTCAGCAGGGAGTCTCCTTGATATTCTCTCTTTCCCTCTCCTGCTGCCTCTCCCCTCCACTCGCTCTCTCTCACTCTCTCTTTTTTTTTTAAATCTTTTAAAAACTTAATATCTTCATCAGAATGTCATATTTGCAAGCCTTTTTTTTTGTTTTGTTTTTGGTTTGAGACAGATTTGTCTGTGTCCCATAGAAGAAGAAGATATTACTGAAGTCTACATTTTAGAGAATCTTATTGAGCACTGAAGTGTCACTATATAGTTTTACTGGCATCTATGGTTTAAATTTTTAAGTGCTTAATATGCTTGAATGTTCTCTAAAAAGTCCCCCCAAATTATAAAACCAGTGTTAACCTTCTTTTGTAACATATGATTTAGCTTTTGATATTTGTATGGATATTATTAAGTAGGATTTTAACTTGTATTGCAGTGATTTCTAAAAGAAATCCAGCTTAAGATATTATGTACAACCTCTATTTTTGCATTACACACATATACATACAGATATTGATTAGGGAATTAATAATAAAAACTGATGAGCAATGTGAAGTGGTTTTATTAAAAATGTACTTTTGGGGGGCGCCTGGGTGGCTCAGTCGTTAAGCATCTACCTTCAGCTCAGGTCATGATCCCAGGGTCCTGGGATCGAGCCCCATATTGGGCTCCCTGCTCAGCAGGAAGCCTGCTTCTCCCTCTCCCACTCCCCCTGGTTATGTTCCTGCTCTCACTCTCTCTCTCTCTGTCAAATAAATAAATACAATATTTTTTAAAAAATGGACTTTTGAGTTAACTCACTCAGTAATAAAAATTCTTAAGACTGTTAGTACATTTTTTAGTATGCCTTACATTTTACTTTTTCTTTATAAAATATACAAATTATTTTAAATCTACAATAAAGTAAATAAGGTATGACAAATCCCCATGAATCCACCTCCTAGATATTACATATCTTAACATTTTTGTTCTACCCTAACCTCTTTTCTCCCCTCCCGCAGAAAACTTTATACTTTTCTGCTTTATCTACTATGGGTATAACTTTTGGTGCATGGATGTTCATATTCCATGCATTGTAAAACTAATGAAATATATAGTACCAATCTGTTATTCACAATTGTTGATGCTATATTTTAACAAGGGGATAAATCTTATAAATAAAAAATCAACTTATTGACATCTGAACTTTTGAACAGCAAATATCATTTGGTAGCTGTTCATAGTTGTCTCAAAGACCATTTTAGTCTTTTATACTTTTCCTTGCTTGGCAAAGTAGGTTAGCATAGTGTTAACTTCTTCAGCATTATGAATTTCCTCATTAATTACTATTAATTGATGATTGTCATTTGTCTTTTTATTCTTGCAGCTGTCGAAGCTAATCACATACTATCTTTTCATTTTTTTTTTTTTAAAGATTTTTATTTATTTATTTGACAGAGACACAGCGAGAGAGGGAATGCAGGGGGAGTGGGAGAGGGAGAAGCAGGCTTCCCGCTGAGCAGAGAGCCTGATGTGGGACTCGATCCCAGGACCCTGGGACCCTGACCTGAGCCGAAGGCAGACGCTTAACGACTGAGCCACCCAGGCGCCCCCTATGTTTTCACTTTTTAAATCCTTTTCTTGTGTATTTTTATATATTTGACTCACTGACAGTATCTGTTTTATACGGGGTTGTATATTTGGTTTGTTTTTACTTTAAAACAACATTGTCAGCTGAAGTTTTCATAAATAAAGTTAATGGAAAGCAGCTACATTCCTGACATAAAATTTACTCGTTACCCATTTAGCAACTTGCTTTTTCTTTCAAACATTTAGCTAGGTAGAGACAATGTTTAGCAGAAACCCAAGGGATCAGAGTCTTCAACTCTCACACATTATTAGGTTGCTAGGCCTTTTCATGTGTAAGTCTCTTAAGGGATTATTGGTCTACTAGTTTTTGTGTGTTTCTCAGTGGCCCTAGCAAAATGACTGTACCTGTTAAGTGCTCAATAAATATTCTGCATAGAGTCCTATGAGTGAACTCTGGAATGGTTAAGAATGTAGCCTATATTGGGCGCCTGGGTGGCTCAGTTGGTTAAGCGACTGCCCTCGGCTCAGGTCATGATCCTGGAGTCCCGGGATCGAGTCCCACATCGGGCTCCCTGCTCAGCAGGGAGTCTGCTTCTCCCTCTGACCCTCTTCCCTCTCATGCTCTCTATCTCTCATTCTCTCTCTCTCAAATAAATAAATAAATAAATAAATAAAAAAGAATGTAGCTTATAAAAATAGCTGTCTAAAAGGTCTGAGTTGGAGATTTAAAGATTTTGGAGACACTAGCATGAGACTTGTGAAAACCAAGGGAGTAGATACAAACCCTTATAGATAGAGTATAGATGAAGGAAAAAAGAAAAAGAGGGCCTAAGAAAGAATTCCAAGGAATCCTAAAATTTAAGGGATGAGCATACAAACGAGCTAGCAAAAGAGAATAATATCTAGAGGATTTGGAGGAAAACCAGTGATATGAGTGAAGCCCAGGGAAATTTTTTTCAAGCAGGAAATGTTCAACAGGGTTAAATATGCTAATAGGTCAGGTAAGAATTTAAAAGTATACGCAGTTAATTTTCTCTCCCATAGAATGATCAGTCCAAATGGACTGAACTTTGTACAAGCTCTATGAGAGTATGCTTTCAGAACTCCCTCTGTGCAAATCATTTCTAGAAAGTATCTGATTAAGGGTTTTAACCATTCAGACATGTTCTTTGTCCCATCTCCTCCTCATTATTACTGTAGATTATGATTATTATTGTTATGTAACACATTGTTTTCTAGAGTCATGATAAAGAACTTGTTTATAAATTTATAATCTTCATTAACCCCTATAGCTCTTAAAGCTCTTAAAGGTTTTATTTATATTTAAAGTATTTGTTTTATAAGTTGGATTTTCAAAATAAAGATACAATAAATTCCAGTAATCTACTTTTGCAAGAGGTATTTTAAAAACATATATCCTTATCATTCCATAAATGAGGTATAGATAACCTTGATAAATCATGTTGGCCTCCAACTCTCATAGAATTAAGCAGAATTTAATTTTACAAAACACTGTTTTGTAAAATCAGAATTTATAAAACTTGCAGATACTATATTAAAAAAAGAAAATTAACATGCTAATATAGCTAATAAAATACTGAAATTCCATATTTATGTTTTAACATATATTCTTTGTTCTTATTGGAAATATAAGTAACTTTAATGTGTTTTATAAAGCATAATCCATGTAAATGACTGTTTTTATCAAATTGGTTCTCACACAGTCAAATCAGTCTTTAGACTAGAGATGGCCCAGCCTTTTGAGTTTCTTTGTTACCTTTTCCGTTCTCCTGATTCTAAACAGACCAAGGTTTAAAACACAGAGTCAGTGTCAGTATGTAGCCAGAATGTTTATTGGAGAATAAGATGGCTTATATGTCCCCTAGGAGTTTTATTTTCCAAAAGAAATGGAATATGTAGGAATAACAAAATATTACAGCTCACATTAAAAAATAGATTAATCTTTTGTCAGTCAAACCTTTTGTCTCTAGATCTCCACCCTAGAAGCATTGATTGACATCTGTTCTCTATTTCAGAATTTTTTCCTGAGCATGTTCCCAAAATATGAATTTGTCACCATTAGACTTCCTTCACTCCAAAATAGGACCTTAAAAATTATATCAAAAACTAAACAACAAAAGAAATCAGATGCCTTTGTATTTTAAAACAACAGTATTTTGTAGTCAAAATGAAATTTGATGAGATATGAATATAGTCTGTGTTTTAGTTAATAGTGATGTCCTGAAGTCAGTTTTGACAAATCTGTCATGGTTAATATAATATGTTAACATTAGAGGAAACTGGGGAAAGAGGAACTCTTTGTACTGTTTTTGTGACTTTTCTGTATCTAAAACTATTTCAAGTAAAAAGTTTATTTAAAATATAGAAAAAATGATTAATATTGTTAAATATTATCAATTCCCTCTTCCATTTAAGAACTGTTTCTTACCTGTCTGTTTTCATTGACTTTTAGTATCAGTCTAGCATAGCTTTACACATAGTTCATGTCCAGTAAGTCTTTGTTGAACTATATTTTAGCTCAGTGCTTGACAATAGGCTCCTGGACATTGGGTATAACATCACGATTATTGATTATTTTTATATTAAGGGAAATGTCTTAGACATGGGCACAGATTGGTATTCCTATAAACCCAGAATTGAATTCTCATTAACATGTTCGATACAGCTTTCTTTAAAGCTTTTAAAAATCTTATAATTAAATTTATTTTGAAATTGGGGATTTGCCTAAATATAAGAAACCACCTTCAGCAGGCTTGAGTATGGTCTTCTGACTTCTATCTTTCCTATGGCAAAAAAGAAAGAAGTTTACTCCTTTGAAGTTATGAATGGAAGGATGCCAGATTAACTAACATTTATTCAAATTTTTGTAATTTATTTGAAAACTTCATATTGTGTTCAATGATGTTTTCTAGGGTTGTGGATCTCTGTAGAAATGTAAAAGAACGAATAACAAGGGAATGCAAAGAGAAGGGTGTTCAGTTTGCTCCTCTTTCTACCTGCAGGTGAGTTGTTGTTGTTGTTCTTATACTACTTATCCTGAAAAAAACAAACAAACACATTTTTTATTTAATGGAGAAACGTAATTTGCCAACTGAGGAGTATCTTCGATCTATTCCAGTTAGCAAGTTTTCCTAACCTTCCTTTTGCCACCTTCTTAGGGTTGTGCCACTAGGATTTTAATTAGCAATAATGGCGCCTCGGATAAACCTCATTGGCTACGACACTGCCACTGCACAAAGCTACCACTAGGATTTTAGAGCAGTCCTCAGCCCTTTAGGAGTGGAATACCTTTCTATAAGTGAGCTTTCTACGCTACTGGGACAGCATGACAGTGCAGAGCCAAACCTTGGAGCTCCTGGAATAAGTAAAGGACTCCCTCTTCATTCACTGAAACTATAAATCACATTTATATTCAAGAAAGTATAATTTAATATACAGTCAACATAGCTTTTTCTTCAATAGACAAAAAGCATTTTTAACCACTTTATTAGTTATTGATTCAATGAATGGGCATAGAATAAAGGAATGAGTGGAGCAAAATATCCAAATGAAGATTAACTCACTGCTTTCAATAGATCCTTCTACAGCAATGGAACTGTTCTTTATCTGCGCTGTCTATTATGGTAGCCACAAGCCACATGGGGCTGTGGAGCTGGTGAAATGTGACTGTGGAACTGAATTGTAAGTTTTATTTAATTTCAAATAATTTAAATTTAAAACATCACATGTGGCTGGTATCTTCCATAGTGGCAAGTTAACTGAAGATCTTGTCCTCTTTGTTAGGTAGCAGCAGTCCAGAGCGAGGTTTTCTTGAGAAGGGGCACTTTGTATTCAATTTTTTCTTATTAAAAGACCTGTATAAACACCAGAAGATTAAATGTATCAAGATTGGGGGCGCCTGGGTGGCTCAGATGGTTAAGCGTCTGCCTTCGGCTTGGGTCATGATCCCGGGGTCCTGGGATCGAGCCCCACATCCGGCTCCTGGCTCAGCGAGGAGCCTGCTTCTCCCTCTCCCTCTGCCTCTCTCTCTGCTCATGCTCTCTCTCTCTCTCTCTCTATCTCTGTGTCTCAGATGAATAAATAAAATCTTTAAAAATAAAATTAAAAAAATGTATCAAGATTGAATTGAGCATTTGACTTATCTATAAAGTTATAGAATTAATTGGAATGGAGAATAAAGAGAAATTTGGGGAGATTATGTGAAGGGGATCCTTAAAGTAAATGATACGGTAGTAATCTAGCACTTTAAAATTTATGAAACACTCTAGGTTACATAACTGCCTCTCCTTTTTTCTCTGTGTGTGTGTGTGTGTGGTTTTCAAGAATATAACTCAATATTTATTATAGAAATAAACAAAAAAAATTACAATAGAAGCAAAATTATAAATTAGGTAATTTGGGAAATAATATAATATCTTTATTGTTAAGTGCACCCGATGTGGGACTTTAAAACAACAGATACTCACCAAAACACCATTTCTGTATATTTCTGTGCGTGATGCTTGTACTGATTTGCCTGGAATCACTTAATCTCAGCCTGGGAAGGTAGACCTGGGCCTATTTCAGCCTATTCCAAGAACCAGGCCCTGCTATATGGCCATGGCAACTTCCTGTTTACTTTTTAAATTTCTTTGTTTTGTAACATTACATGTGTCTGATGGGTGGAGGCACTGTTCTGTTTATTAGTAATTTAATCTCTTTGAGCTCAAAGTTTATCATTAGTAAGGCAGTGGTAATACTGTCTACTTGATGAGGCTTGTGAGTCTGAAATGTGAAAGCATGTGAAGGGCTTTGTGAATGCCATTGTATTGTTGTGAGGTCATTACATGAAGATTGAGGTAGACAACCTATACTAGTGCTAGTGAGGGAAATTAGGGTATTGTTTTTCTTCTCCAATGACAGATCCTCATGAAGGCATCCAATTGTTAAGTCCTCTTTGATATTTTAATATAGCATGATAATTTGCATATATTTGCTTTGCAAGACTAGAAATATTTCTGTACTCTTCAGACTGATTTTTTTTCTTTTTTCTATCTTTTATATCCTCATCTTGTACTTCCCTACTACCAGATTGTGTTTCTTAGTTCTACATATTGCCCCTATTGGGACAGGTATCTTTCAGAATTTGCTAAATTTTTGTGCTTCTGCTGGGGTAAGAAAGCAAAATTCTAACATGAGATCTGAGGATTTTTTTTTTCTTATACATTAAATGTTCATGTCAACTAGAAGGATCTACTCGAAATTGTGTTTTTTTGCGTCTGTGTGGGAGAGAGAGTCAGGATTTGAAGACCATTTCAGGAAGTACTGAACCTATATGTATTAACCTATGTATTAACATGTTTTAGAACAAATATATTCGGGGTTGAATCCAAGAACATAAAAGCTAAAAATGTGAATTTAGAGATTATTGACTGGTCATTTGATATATCTAAAAGAAGGGAAAATAGGGGCCTTGTTCTGTACAATAATAAGCTTATAACTTGGTAAACCTACTGGTGGCCTAGTGACTGATCTTGGAGAGATCTTTCTTTCTTTCTTTCTTTCTTTCTTTCTTTCTTTCTTTCTTTCTTTTCTTTTTTTTTTCTTTCTTTCTTTCTTTCTTTCTTTCTTTCTTTCTTTCTTTCTTTCTCTCTCTCTTTTTTTAATTTGGAGATGTCTTTTAAAGTAAGTCTTTTATCTTAAAGTCTAAGAAAAAATTTTGTGTTCATTTATATTATGAACCCAAATTGATACATAATTCTTTTGACAGTCTGGTCTATCAGGCCTCTTACTATAATACTGAAAGCAAATCAGGCCTAATAATCCAAAAGTCATTTGTTAACCAGTAAAATTTGAAACATTTTAAATAATGGAATCTATTTTTTTGTAGTTGAGAATTTTTATTCCTTTGTTTTATCAAGTAGTGACTTAATAGATTTTATCCCCTCTTCCTCCTTCTTCCCCACCTCCCTATTTATCTCTCGAGACTTCTCCCCTTCCATTATGAGAATATCATTGTGACAAACCACTACTTACTGAAAGGTATTGCAAAGTAAAATATTCTGCCTCAGACACCTACCGTAATAGCACAAGTCTTGGAACTCAAAAGAACTAAGGTTCTTTATTATGTATTGTAGGTAGACTAAATTTGACATATGTCATTTATTAAGTAGATATTTTTAAAAGAATTTTTCTTTTTTTTTTTAAAGATTTATTTATTTTGAGAGAGTGAGAATGAGAGAGAGAGAGTACATGAGAGGGGGGAGGGTCAGAGGGAGAAGCAGACTCCCTGCTGAGCAGGGAGCCCGATGTGGGACCCGATCCCGGGACTCCAGGATCATGACCTGAGCCGAAGGCAGTCGCTTAACCGACTGAGCCACCCAGGCGCCCAAAAATTTTTCTGATAAAAGCCTATATGCTCAGCTTCTGTGATCATTTTATAAAACCAAAATTTAGAATGTGCAGTCTAGTTATTTGAATGGCTTTGGTAAGGAGTTTTAAATGTAGTTCTTATATCTCATACTTGATGAAACTAACATTTAACCAGAATTTGATTTTAGTTTAGTTTGATTTGAGCTGCTTAATAGTGTGGCCAAGGAGGCTATTGTGTGTTGAATGTAAATGTTGAGTGTGTGAGATACACTTTTTAAACGAGTTTTTTTTAAAGTTATTCCAAAATTAACTTGAAATAATTATAGCTCTCAAGGAAATCAAAGATCAGAAGGGAAATAACTAGCTGTAGGGTGCATTTATTGAATTCATTTATTTCACTTCTCTCTATTAAAATGTACTTTGTATACTGGAATAGAAATTCTAACCCAAAATTTTCTGAAGGTTTATAGGAAGGAATTCGTGGCCAGTGAGTCTAACGTAAGAAAAAAACTCCAAAAACTTTTTAGAAATTAAAGAATAATATAATGACTTTGGCAGGCATGCTGTCACTTGTCGAGATGATTTTGGAAGAGATTGGTGTTTGTCTTAAATGATAGAATCAGTCTATTAAAAGGTGTAGATATGAGTCAGTTTCTGAAGTAAATCGAAAATGAGGTTTTCCAAAAAATCTTTTTTTTATTATTTATACTATTATTTTTGCTTTGTCTTTGAGTTACTGATCAGTGAAACTTTTAGAAGACTGCTTATCTATTGAAAACAACTCTTTGGTATAGATCCTAGATTTGTTGGAAGGTAGCAATGCTCTATTAGTATTTAGTTGCATTTTCTATTTATTGATATTGATTCAAATATGAGTGATACATATTTTACTAATTGCTATAAACTCATTTCATTCAGGTATCCTTTCAGTTTATTTAAATTTGGTTATTCCTAAATGATAGTACCCTCATAGTTAAAATTGTTCTCCAATTTTTCTTAAACTTTGTAAATCTGGTACTTAAATTGTAAACATTCAAGGGATCTTTTTTATGAGTGTGAATTAACATTAGAAGAAACACACAGCTGGCAAATTGACAGTAGCATTGTTAAACAGTTCATTTCTTCTGTTCTGAGGCACCTAACATTTGGCCTAAAAGGCCATTAAAATTTTAGATTAGATTCTGTTTGTATTGTTGTAGTAAAAAGAGTATTTCCTCTGTATTTGCTCCTTCTGTTAAATTAAATTCTTTGTAGGAACCTCTGTAAATTGCACTCACAGATCTGACTATGATTATCTTAGCCCTCTTTTAAATGCTTCGCCTAATTGCATTTTGAAAGCCCAGATATATATCATATGTATGATTTAATAATCTAATGTAAAACTGGGTATCTTTTTGTAAACACACATACAACGTGCGCACAAATGGGGCCCAGAGAATAAAACCTTCAGGGACAGTATTTTAAAGCCATGTCACTGCATTTGGTCTGATCATCCAATTTGTTTCCAAAGTTCTTAATAATTATTAATATGAAGTTAGTGAAGATGCTATATTTTACCCAGCCTGATCATTTTTGGTATTTGAACATTTTTTTGTTTCCGAGGTTTAAGTTCTCATGCCTATTTCTGTTGACTTTCAGGAAGTATAAAAGGCTTATGATGGATCACCAAGTCCCATCTAGTCTGTCTGGGGACTTCTTTAACTTCCCTATACTTTGTAACAAAACAAAACCAATCTCTTCTGAGTAGGTGGGGTTTTTATTTCAGGCCAATTGGAGAAACATTTACATTGTTTTTAATTTTTTAAATTCTTTGGCTAATAATCCAGACTTACCAAAAAACAGTTGTTAAAAATAGTACAAATAGTTCCTGTATTTCCTTCAGCCAATCTCCATTCCTTCCATGGCGTTAAGAGTCTGGGTAGAGAATGAGATTATGGCTTAAACAGATTAAATGATCTTACCTTTACATTTCTAGATATTAAATCTGATTTCACTTAACTTAAAGCCTTGTGGAAATTGTCTGTTTGTTTTTTAGGGTGACGCAGATTTATGATGCAGGTGCATGTATCTATTTCTACTTTGCCTTTAACTACAGGGGAATAAGTGACCCACTGACTGTGTTTGAACAAACAGAGGTAATTTTGCATATATGAGTATACTCTTATATTCTTTTTTAAATAAACTTTCCTATCAATTTATGAATTTTAGTTTGACTCTCTTCAATCACTCAATGGCTTACTTGGTTGGTAGTTCATAGAAACGAGAAGCATATTTGGCACACTGAATTGTATAGTGACTTGTGAGTCTAAAATTAATATTCTCTAGAGACATTAGAATTAATATTCTGAAATTATTCTGTAGCCTGTGATTCTTTGGTTGTTATTTACAGTATATAAAACCTGATTAAATTAAATAACAAAGGACTGTAGGAATCCTTGGGATCACTTTGGCAGTTCACCCATTTGCCAATGGTGGCTGCAGTTGAGGTCAGCAGCCCTGCTGTTCTTGCTGTTTGTTGCTGTAATATCCTCATTCTAGGTTTCTAATTTTCTGTTTGCTCTAGCTATACATAGGCCATTGAGGTTCATTTGCTGCCAGTTGCTGTTAACATTCCTTGAATGGCCCTAAGATTCCAGTTTTCATTACAAGTATGCCTAGAGTTGAAGGACAGACTAGACTATGGAGGAGCTGGGAGGAGACAGGTTTGGTTAAACCTCACGTGTGCTAGTGTTTAAACTAGTGTTTAAAACCTAGTGTCTTAGTGTTATTGCATGCCAGCCAAAGGTAGTACCATGCAGTGATTTTCAGTGGCACACTTTTAAGACACAAACCATAGACAAGGTTTGGTTGGCTCCCTCCTATGCCTCCTTTATTTTTTTTTTTTTCAACTTTTTTGAGGTATAATTGAAATACAGGAAACTGCACATATTTGGAGTGTACAATTTGGTGAGTTTTGCATATGTTTACACCTGTGAAAATATCACCCCAGTCAATATAATGAACATATTTATCACCCTCAAAAGTTTGAGTACTTTTCTGTCAGCTTGGCCTTTCATTGTTTTGATTGCCCTTGGGCTCCTCAAAGGTCCCGTCCCTGTACTATCCTACAAGAGTGAAATTATTCCTTTTTCCCCAATCCAAACTGCCATTTTTAAAGCGCTACTAATTTCAGGTAGTTATTGCTTTATTTAAAATTACTTGTTTAATTAATGTAATAATTTATTAAATGTAAAATAATCTTATTTAAAATAATTCATTAGAAGATATAATGCTAGAATTTTTTTGATTCATTTGAAAAACCCTAAATCCTAAATGATGAGGGTTCATACAAGTTACTTTGCAATGAGATATGGTCCATCTGTCCTGCCTGGGCCCTCTTCTACCCTGGCCTAACTCCTGATAGTTTATACACACCTGAGTAATTCTGAGAGGTTCTAGGCACTGTAGATATTTCACCTCATGGCTGGTATATACTCATGAATTGAATATAATTCTCCTTCTGTTCCCCTTTTTTCACTCTGCACTTCAGTCATTCTCTGTTTTGCTTTAAGTGTTTATTTTTCTAAACTTTTTTTTCTATAAGGAGGTTAATCAGGGCCGAACATATTAGGAGGAGAAAACAAGCGGGTTTTTTTGTGCTTAAATGTCCATAGGTCTGACAGTAATTTGTCCCAGGATATTGACCTAAGAAATGTTCTCCATAAGGGCTTTTCTGTTTGATCTCTGATAGCTTTGCAACTAATTTTGAGTCTGATGCCCACTTTGTGATATTTGGTGAGTAATTTAACCATCTAAGCCTCATTTTCTTGTGAAATGCGGTTAATTGTAGTTATTCTGTAAGGCTAGAGCAGAAAATAAATGAGTTACTACAGGTAAATTGCTTAGTGCACTTTTGTAGACAGAAAATAAGCAGTTAAAATAAATGTGAGTTACTAACACTTGTTGGTATAGTGAGATGTTTACTTCAGAGTAGGACTTGACTGTCTTCACAAAATTATTAACAATGTAGTGTGCTGAATTGATCATTTTGTCTTCTTTTTCTTTTCTAGAATCTTGAAGTGACTATTGAGACATTGTGACCATTCACTAGGAAAAAACGTATAAAGCTAGGCTGCATATTTTAAGTTTTCTTAAATGTAGTTAAGCCAAGAGAAAGGAAAATTAGGCATCCAGTTTGTTATTTAAGCCAGGAAGTACGTGCCTCCTTTGGGAGCTGGGTCTTAGGCTTACTCTTTCGCTTCAAAGTGAAACCTAAGTAGCAACTATTTGTTGTGTTGTTTCCAAATACAGGCAGCTGCTAGAGAAGAAATCCTTGCTAATGGAGGGAGCCTGTCGCATCACCACGGAGGTAGAATTTCTAATATTCCTACTATTAAAAATAATTGGTTTGATAAAGTGCTGTGGAGAACAACAGTACGTAATTGGAGGGTACCAGATATTTCTTGAGAGTTTGTGTGTCTGTCACTGAGGTAGCCTAGGTTGTGGTAGTAACCAACAGAAGAAATATTAAACATTACTGTTTTTCTTTTAAAGTGTAAAACTTCTATTTCTCTAATTTAGACACTAAGTTAATTACTTGCCATGCTTTAGATGTTAAAATAGAAATGAGTCAACATTTTAATTTCCACATCATAGACATTTCATTTTCTCAGCTCTTGCATGTAAATCAGTTGGATTTTCTGGTTGTTTTTATACTTCCTGATTGTAGGTTTTAACACATTGTCAGGTAACAGGTAACAAACAAATATAGGTCAGATCATGTTACAATAAAACTTCTGTAATTTATGTGCATTTTCAAGGTCTAGGCCTATAGGTCTTCATTTGTTAAAGATTCCCAAGTTTGATGAAATGATTTATTTTTAGAAATTATTGGCTTGAACTTGAATGTAGCTAGGTTTGATTGCATATTAATTTAAGAGATTCTGCCTCATTTAAATAGAAATCTTTTATTTCTATCATATTTCTCATATTTTTATTTTCTGTGTGCAAAAAAATTAAAACTGCATAGAAAAAACTCTAAACTACCTGGTTTCCTCTAGTGCTTAGGAAAAGAAACTAGGTAAGCCTAAATACAAAGTATATTTCCTATGTGCTGGTAAAATGAAGATGCTTTCCCTTGCGAGCTTGCCCTCTTCTAAACTACTAAATATTGGAGTATCCTCCAGGACTCTGCCCTGAGCCAGTTTGTTCTGTGTTCAGTCCAGGTGATTACCTCAGTCCCAGGACTTAAAGATATGCTGATGATTCTCAGCTACCAGAAAGCATCAGCACCACGACATTCTAGTTCAAATCACTGTTTCTTCCTGAGACTGCCGCAGTAGCATCTTACCTGGTCTGTCTACTTCCACTCGTGCTCCCCTACCGTCATTTCTGTTGCTGCCAGAGGAATCTTTTCCCAAAACTCAGTGTTTTCTCCTCACACTCAAAATAAAATCCAAACTCTTTATCAGGACCTTCAAGGATACGCATGTGTCTTTCTTTCCATCTGCATCTCTTACTACTTTCTTACATTGGCTTTCTTGGCTGTTCTTCAGACATACCAACCCCCTTCCCCCTGCAAGGCCTTTGCTGTTTCTTCTTTTTCGGATGTTCTTTCTTCAGTTGTTTTTCCCCCAGATATTTTCATGGCTCACTTTCCCCATCATTTAGTTCTCTGATAAAAATGTCACCTTCTGGGGTGCCTGGGTGGCTCAGTCGTTAAGCGTCTGCCTTCGGCTCAGGTCATGGTCCCAGGGTCCTGGGATCGAGTTCCGCATCGGGCTCCCTGTGCCGCGGAAAGCCTGCTTCTCCCTCTCCCACTCCCCCTGCTTGTGTTCCCTTTCTCGCTGTGTCTCTCTCTGTCAAATAAAATCATTAAAAAAAAATGTCACCTTCTTAGAGGTATCTTCCCTGTTCTCTTGTTTAGTTTCTGTGTTCCTCATTTGAATAAGTTCAGTAAGGTTACTGACTTTATCTTGTTCGTCACTGTGTTTCCCAGTGCTGAGAGCAGTGACTACTGGCTCTTCTGTATAGTAGATGCTCAGTGAATATGTTAAGTGAATGGATAAGTGCCTCAGTACTCACAGAATTTGGGGCAGTTTTGCAAATTCTCAAAGAGCTCTGAATCTTTCATATTAAAATGGCTGTAGTCTCACTCACTGTTAGTTTAGTTTCAAACATTTAATGGTCAGGCCTTGTTTGAATATAGGGTCATGTTTAATCGTGAAAAGGCTCAGTTTATTCCATAATATTTTTTTTTTTAAGATTTTATTTATTTGACAGAGAGAGACACAGCGAGAGAGGAAACACAAGCAAGGGGAGTGGGAGAGGGAGAAGCAGGCTTCCTGCTGAGCAGGGAGCCTGATGCAGGGCTCGATCCCAGGACCCTGGGATCATGACCTGAGCTGAAGGCGACGGTTAATGAATGAGCCACCTAGGTGCCCCATTCCATAATATTTCTGAGAAAGTGTATTAGCAGAGCCAGTTATTCAGTAGAAAAGTGGGGTGAAATAACATGCATTTCTCTACAACTGCATAACAGCAGACATTTTAGTGTTCTTCCATAGATGCATTGTGTACGTAAGGTTCTATTCAAACTTTGTCTTAAAGCAACTAAAAGGTTGAGAGGCGGAGGAGGAGCAAGGTAGCAGAGGAAGAGTAAAACTAAATTTTGTCTGGTCCCAGGAATTCAGCTAGATAGGTATCAAACCATTCTGAACACCTGCAAACTCAACAGGAGATCAAAGAAAAGAATAACAGCAACTATCTGAACAGAAAAGCGACCACTTTTCTGGAAGGTAGGACGTGTGGAGAAGCGAATCCGAGGTGATACTCGGGAGGATAGACGGCGTGGGAGGGGGCCTCCGTCGGCCGCTTCTGGCAAGTGCTAGAGCCGCGGAGCACAAAATTGAAACTTTTAGAAGTCGGCTCCGCTGAGGGACATCACTCCAATGGCTAAGCGGGAGGTGGAACCCTCACTGGGACAGTGTGGTCTCAGGACCCTCGGGGTCACAGAAAGACCTGGGGTGCCTGAGTGTGGCAGAGATCCCAGGTATTGGAGTGGGGAAGCCAGCTGCAAAGACGGAGTCGAGGAGTGGGCTCTCAGCTCGGGGTAGCCATAAACCATAATCTGTGGCACAGTCGGGCCACTACTCTTCCAGCAGGGACCCAACAAGCAGCAGATCTGGGGACACTCCCTTCCTCCCCAGGGAGGAGCGGCATGGGAATGCACTGAAGGAATCTGCTGGATTTGGAGACTCCAAACAGGGTCACATGCCAGAGAAAAAATGCTTGGTCCCAGGCCGGGTGAGCACGGAGTGCGGCTGGAGACTGGGGAGACAGGAGTGATTGATTGCTTTTCTCTAGGGGCTCACTGAGGAGTGGGGCCCCGAGTTCTCAGCTCCTCTGGGGTGGAGATTGGGAGGTCGCCATTTTCTTCCTTGTCCTCTAAAGCTGTATGGAAAGCTTTCAGGGAACAAAAGCTCCCGAGAGCAAACCCGAGCAGATTACTTAGCCTGGCACCTGACAAGGGCGGGGCAATTCCGCCTCCGGCAAAGACATTTGGGAACCACGGCAACAGAAGATTAGCAAGAACAGCCAGCCAAGACCAAGTTTACCGATGAATGAGAACAGCAGAATTCCAGCGCTAGGGGAATACAGCACATAGAATTCATGGCTTTTTTTTTCATTTTTTTTTAGTCTTTCAAAGTTAATTTTTTAAATTTTCTTTATTTTTTCTTTTTTTTCTATTTTTTTAAATTTTTCTTTTCCCCTTTTTAAATGAACATCAATTCCTTTTTAAAAAATTTTTTTAATTTTCATTTTTAGAGTCATATTCTATCCCTTCATTGTAGTTAACCTTATTTTTTGTATATATGTATAAAGTTTTTCTCTCTTTAAAATTTTGGGATACAGTTTCTTCTAACAGACCAAAATATACCCTAAATCTCTAGTGTATAGCTTTGTTCTGGTCTCCTGCCTGATCACATTCTCTCCCTTTTTTTTTCTTTTTTGATTTTTCTTCTTTCTCTTTTCAACCAACTTCTTATCAATTCCTTTTATAAAATCTTTTATAATTTTCATCTTTACAATTATATTCCATCCCTTCATTGTATTTACACTTATTTTGTACATATATAAGTTTTTCTTTCTTTAAAATTTTGGGAGGCAGTTTCTTCTAACAGACCTTTTTTTTTTTTTAATCTAGTGTGTGGCTCTGATCTATTCACCAGCATAAGGCATATTCCTTTTTTTTTTTTTCCCTTTCTTTTTCCCCCGGTTTCGGGTCTCTTCTGATTTGTTTAGTGTATATTTTTCTGGGGTCTTTGTTACCCTTTTAGCATTTTGTTGTCTCATTCATCTATTCTCCTCTGGACAAAATGACAAGATGGAAAAACTCACCTCAAAAAAAAGAACAAGAGGCAGTACTGACTGCCAGGGACCTAATCAATACAGATATAAGATGTCGAATGGTGATTATAAAGATACTAGCTGGGCTTGAAAAAAGCATGGACGATACTAGAGAATCCCTTTCCAGAGAAATAAAAGAACTAAAATCTAACCAAGTCAAAATAAAAAGCTATTAATGAGGTGCAATAAAAATGGAGGCTCTAACTGCTAGGATAAATGAGGCAGAAGAGAGGATTAGTGATATAGAAGACCAAATGATGGAGAATAAAGAAGCTGAGAAAAAGATAAACAACTACTGGATCACGAGGGGAGAATTCAAGAGGTAAGTGATACCATAAGATGAAACAATATTAGAATAATTGGGATCCCAGAAGAGGAATGAGAGAGGGGGGCGGAAGATATATTGGAGCAAATTATAGCAGGGAACTTCCCTAATTCAGGAAAGGAAACAGGCATCAAAATCCAGGAGGCACAGAGAACCCCACTCAAAATCAATAAAAATAGGTCAACAGCCTGACATCTAATAGTAAAACTTACAAGTCTCAGAGACAGAGAAAATCCTGAAAGCAGCTCAGGACAAGAGGTCTGTAACCGACAAAGGTAGAAACATTAGATTGGCAGCAGACCTATCCACAGAGACCTGGCAGGCCAGAAAGGACTGGCATGATATATTCAGAGCACTAAACGAAAAAAATATGCAGCCAGGAATACTATATCCAGCTAGGCTGTCACTGAAAATAGGAGAGTTAAAAAGCTTTCAGGACAAACAAAAACTAAAAGAATTTGCAAACACCAAACCAACCCTACAAGAGATATTAAAAGGGGTCCTCTAAGCAGAGAGCCTAAAAGTAACATAGACCAGAAAGGAATAGAGACAATATACAGTAACAGTCACTTACAGGTAATACAATGTTAATTCATATCTTTCAATAGTTACCCTGAATGTAAATGGGCTAAATG